AAGGTAGAACTTGAGAGATGGCAATGCTGTTAAAAAGAAGGGGTTCTCAGCTCGACTAGGAGGTAAACTGGAGGAAATGTGAAACTATGGGAACCTTGGGAGGTAGAGGGCCATGGGCAGATAGGTGGAGGGACAGGTAGTATTGAGGAGGTGGGGAGGCTGCAGAAGGATTTGGACAGGTTGGGAGAGTGAGCAAAGAAGTGGCAGATGGATTATAAGGTGGGAAAGTGTGAGGTCATGCACTTTGGTAGGAAGAATAAAAGCATGGACTATTTTCTTAATGGGGAGAAAATTCAGAAGTCTGAAGTGCAAAGCGACTTGGGAGTTCTAGTCCAGGATTCTCTCAAGGTAAACTTGCAGGTTGACTCAGTAGTCAGGAAGGCAAATGTAATGTTGGCATTTATTTTAAAAGGACTTGAATATAAAAGCAGGGATGTACTACTGAGGCTTTAAAAGGCTCTGGTCAGGCCAGATTTGGAGTATTGTGTGCAGTTTTGGTCCCCATATCTCAGGAAGGATGTACTGACCCTGGAGCGGGTTCAGAGGAGGTTCACGAGAATGGTCCCAGGAATGGAAAGCTTAACATATGAGGAACGTTTGAGGAGACTGGGTCTATACTCGATGGAGTTTAGAAGGATGAAGGGGGATCTAACTGAAACTTACAGAATACTGAGTGGCCTGGACAGGTGGATGTTGGGAAGATGCTTCCATTGGTAGGAGAGTCTAGGACCTGAGGGCACAGCCTTAGAGTAAAGGGAAGACCTTTTAGAACAGAGTTAAGGAGAAATTTCTTCAGCCAGAGCGTGGTGAATCTATGGAATTCACTGCCACAGAAGGCTGTGGAGACCAGGTCATTGATTACATTTAAGACTGAGATAGATAGGTTCTTGATTATCAAGGGGATCAAGGGTTACGGGGAGAAAGCAGGAGAATGGGGTTGAGGAACTTATCAGCCATGATTCAATGGCGGAGCAGACTCGATGGGCTGAATGGTCTAATTTCTGCTCCTATGTCTTATGGTATTATGGCAGGGATAAGAATAAAGGAGCTTCTGAGTCAGTGAGAAAGAAACCTACAAACTCTTGGTATTTGTTGATCAAGGTCAGAGGATAGGAGAGAGGGATTAAAGGATGTGTATGTTTCTGGTGAAAGAAAATAATCCTAAAACATACAAGACTATCCGGTCCTTTGTGTCTGTGCCAACTTTTTGAAACAGCTAACTAATTGCGCATCACACCTTTTCCCCAGGATGACTGTACACTACAGAGGATTTACATAGCGAGGACAAGGCATGCTTTGGAATAAGGTGGTTGCTTCAGAGCTGGCAATGGAGCAGTTCAATAAACTTTCTGAACTTATGTTATAAGGCTGCAGAATTGTATCTGATCATGAAACCTTATAAACTTGACTAATAAAATGAGCGAATTCCACCTGCTTCATGTCGAGTAAATTCACAAATCAGCATTTGCTGCATGCAATGATTGCCAATTAATCTGCCAAAGCAACACAAAATTATAACGATGTTGGACTATAAACAGCAAGAATGTATAGACAACCTAATTGTATTTATAAGGTAGCCAGAGTGTTACAACAAACAGATACATTGTCACATGTAAAACCCATGATAATCTTCTGTTTCCCCATTGAGATAATTGTATATCATGGTAATATAATTGTACATCATGGTAATCATTGTAATGATGAGGTATCAACAGAAATGTGAATGAAGATGACTGGAAAAGAGATAATCATAAAACAATAGTTCCACTCAGTCAGGATGGCTTTTGTGGGATGGGGAAGATGACATTCATTGAGACAATCGAAGATTCTGTTCAGACGTAGGAATGTGGGTTGCCAACTCTCTCGGAGGTAAGGAAAGATTTGTATTTCAATAGCATCATTCACATCAATGTTAAGATGCTTTGAAAGCCACAGAAATACTTTGAAGTTACTGTTAATATATGGAAAATGCAGCAGCACATTTGTACAAAGCAAGATCCCACATACAGCATTGTAGCAATAGCCAGATCATTTGCTTTAGTAATGATTAATGAGGGATAAACATTGGCAAGGCACAGATTCTTTGATTAAATGCCTCAGGATCTTTTGCATTCACCCGAGAATGAAGACAGGCCTTTGTTTAATGTCTCATACAGAGATCATGATGCTGCTTGGCCTGCTGTGTTCATCCAGCCCTGCACCTTGTTGTCTCGGATTCTCCAGCATCTGCAGTTCCTACTATCTCTCATTCTTCCAATAGTACCGACTTTCATCCTCCAGGAGCCTGGCACTCTCTCAGCACTGGTCCTCCAGTCGTGCGGTGGAAAATGGTAGGTAGAAAGACACGTTGCAAAAGGGATGCAAACATTTATGAAGAACTATTGTTAGGTAAATGGGCAAAGAGTTGGTAAATAGAATATAATGTGGGAAAATGTGAAGTGTCTGTTTTGAAAGGAAGAACAAAAGAACAGAGTATTATTTAAATGGAGAAAAGCTGCAACACAAAGGGACTTGGGGGAAGTTGTGAACAAAACAGAAACCTAGCACACAGGTGCAGCAGGTAATCAGGAAGGCTAATTGAATGTTGGCCCGTATTTCAAAGGGATTACAGTATAAGACATGGGGACTCTTACTGCAACCATACAAGGTGCCATTGAGACTACATTTGGAATACTGCATCCAGTTTTGGTTCCATTATTGAAGGAAAAATATTGTTTCATTGGAGGCAGTTCAGAGAAGTTTCAATAGGGTGGTCCTTCATATGGTGGAATTATTTTATGAGGAAAGATTAAACAGGCTGGGGCACCAGTCACTGCAGTTTAGAAGAATGAGAGGGGATTTCATTGAAACATGTAGGAGTGGTAAGTGGTTCAACAGGGTAAATACTGAGAGGATGTTTCCCCTCATGGGAGAGTCTAGGATGAGAGGACATAGTCTCAGAATAAAGGAGCACCAATTTAAGACTGAAATAAGGAGGAATTTCTTCTCTGACTCTTTAGAACTCCTTGTTACAGGGTGCTGTGGGGCCAGAGTCCTTGTGTATATTTAATGCTAAGATAGATTCTTGTTCAGCCGGGGAATCAAGGGTAACAAGGAAAAAGGCAGGAAAATAGATATGAAGGATGTCAGATCAGCCATTATCTTACTCAATGGCAGAGCAGGCTTGAGGGGACAAATGGCCTACTCGTGTTCCAATTTCTTGTGGATTTATGTTGTTGCACTGGTTCAGCATGACCCTCTGACAGTGTAGCACTCCTTCAGTACTGTACTCCAAATGCAAGTGGGTGGGGGAAAGCAGATCTCAATTGACAGGTACGCAGCACCCAAGTTCCTGGGATGGGAGAGGGGAAGATGGACTTATTTCATGTGGGTACTACATTATTAGGAGGCATAAAATTTTCAAAAAACAGAAGAGACCTTAGACATGTTTTTGATATTTATCCACATATAAAGAATCAAAAATTCCATGTCTTTTGCTTTTAAGGAATCCTTAGTTCAACTTCAAATTCCCTCCGAAAGATGGATGTACAGCAATAAACAAGGTAATCGATAGCCACTTTGTCAAGTCACAACTGCACAGAGATAAACTTCACAAAATGCTCTAAAGGTGCTCGTTATTGAATAACATCAAGCAGTTCCAGAAAGATATTGCTGATCCCAAACTAAGGGATCTTCTGAATATTGATGGTGTTTCTATAAAAGATTAACTGGCTGTCCTGGAATAACAAATGGAAACAGTCTATGGTGAGTGAAGAGAGGCTGATTGAAATGCGTATATGATCCATTTTGGCAATGGATCAATAGAGCAACAAAAATGTATTTATTATGAATTAATGAAAACATTTGATTTATAGATTCCAAGTTAAAATATTTAACCACATGCATATATACACAATCTTTGGTATTTGTGCTCTCCTATCTTTCAAAAACTGAAATTGCTGAAAGATTTAACACTGATACAGAAGATAATGTTCCTACTTGACTGCATCACCTGATTGCAGAGTTAGTGAGAATAAATAAAGAGCCTCGGAAAATCAAAAAGCAGCCTTCGAGAATGTCTCACAATGAGCCCTTGAAAGAAAAATATTTTAATCCTGGTTTGTAATTCAGTTTTCTAAAATTGACCATTGTGCATTGCTATGGAAATAAGATTTCCATTACTGTTTATTTATTGTCCCTTACTGATCTCCTGCTGTGACACTAATTCATTTTGTTGAAGCACCGTTGATAGTTGTGTTCCAATACAATATTCAACACATTTAGACAGAAGTAGAATATAAACAAAATATTCAACTGGAACAGGTATAACAGATAAACCTCACTGCAATAGAAGATGTGTGGTTTGTATATATTCATATCATTTATTTAGAGTTTGGATTTTGAACTAGTGGCACATTAGTTTTGGTCTTTACATGAATGGGTTGAATAATTAACTTGTCAGTTAATTCTGGAGCAACTCTGGACCATGAACTCTACCTTCCATTTTGATATCTTGCTTCTACCCTGAGCATCTGTAGTGTGTTTTCATGTTTTCACTGTATTCAGACTGACCGTCATTCTGCTGCTCGCACCTATTCTGGATCTATACTTTGTGTTTTCTTGACAATTATCACTCCCATTGCTTTTTGTTCAATGATGCCTTTGATAATGCCCTCTAACTTGATGCTCCCTGCTGTTCCACCTGCTCCTCTCCCCTCTTTCAGCAGCATAAAACCACATGGCTTCTCTTTAATTCAGAAGAAGAACGCATAAAATTTGAAACACTAACCCTGCTTTTCTCTCCACAGATTTGCCAGACCTACTGAGTTTTTCAGCATTTTCCATTTTAATTTCAGACCTCCAGCATCCACAGTATTTTACATTTACAACTAACTCTAAATGTATGGATTAGGGCCATTTTGCTCAGACTGTTTTAAAATGAATTTTAAGCATTGGTTCACAGTAATTGCATTAGGTGTTTCAATAGTCACAGAATACAAGGTTTGGCTCAGTAAACTTACCACTGTGTTCAGTTCTTTCATTAGGTCCAAGAGTTTGGAAAACGCCAAGTCCACTGGGTGGTAGTGAGTTACGAAGAGATTGAGTGAGGAGCTGATCCAATTGATCCTTGGAGTTAATCTGGAATGCCTAGAAAACCAAACATACATACAGCTCAGCAATGTGAAAATAATTCAGGGTAAGGATTTTACACAGCCATTTCCCAGGTAAATTGTGGAAGATGCATAGGTATATTTGCCTAATTTCCTGACATTCCACTCTAGCCTCAAATTCACTACATTATGGAAATTATTTATGGAAACACTGGTGGGAATGATGGCATTTAAGAACATGAGGTGAGGACCTTATACAGGTTCATAAAATCATGAGAGTCATGGATAGGGTGAATAACCAAGGTCATTTTCCCAAGATAGGGGAGTCCAAACTAGAGGGCATAGGTTTAAGGGGAGAGGGGAAAGATTTAAAAGGGACCTGAGGAGCAACTTTTTCACGCAGTGGGTGGTGTGTGTATGGAATAAGCTGCCAGAGGAAGTGGTGGAGATGGATACAGTTGCAACATTTAAAAGGCACCAGGATGGGCATGTGAATAGGAAGGGTTTAGAGGGGTATTGGACAAATGCTGGAAAATGGGACTAGATCAGATTAGGATATCTGGTCAATGTGGGTGAGTTGGACCGAAGGATCTGTTTCCATGCTGACTCTATGAGCAGATCATTCAGTCCCTTGATGTGTTGCACCATTCATTTAAATCTTAGCTGATCTGCATTTTAGCTTCATGCGTACCCCGAACACTCTTTCATTCCTAATTAGCTAATTGTTCAGGCGGGGCCACAACCAGCAACATCAATCAGACTCAAGCTTTGAAAAATCCAACTGACACCTGACCTCATTACCATTTTGAGGAGATACCTCCAGATTTCTACTCCTCTTTGAGTGAGGGAGTGCTTCCTGACATTACCCCTGAATCGCCTGGATTTAATTTTAGGATTTAGTTTCCTTGTTCTCGACTCTCCTGTGAGAGAAAATAGCTTTGCTCTGTTATTCCTATTAAATTTTTTAATCATTTTAAAACCATCAATTAGATTGGAACCTGCTTTAACTTGAGAGGATACAATCTCAGCTTATGCAATGGGTAAGATTCTCTGAATGGCATCAATAACAAGGAATATAATATATCAGCCAAACTGTCTTAAAGATAGCAGATTTACATCTATTCACTTGCACGGGCAGCAAACAAAGAGCTGGTGCCTCATGATGTCTCAGTTGTCATGCTTTTGAGAGAGGACCTAATTGGCCTAGCTCAGTGGATATCACACTCACCTCGGAGTTGGAAGTTGTAGGTTCAAATCTCAAATCCCAAATCCTAAGACTTGGCTCCAAAGTCAAGGCTGACCTTCTGATGCAATCTTGAGGGACCACTGCTCTGTCAGAGATGCTATCCTTAGGATGAGATATTAAACCAGGATTCAGGATGCTCTCTTGGATGGATGCAAAACCCAATGAATATTTATATCTTTGCTACTTGTGGGATCTCACAATGGATTAATTTGATTGCTTTGTTTCCTTTTTTTTGCAATGATAATACAATAAAAAAACTCCATTGGCTACAAAATTCTTTGTGAGATCTAGAGTTTGTGACAGGTGCTTTAGAAATAAATGCCATTTCTTTGATTCTGTAACTTTCTTAACTCATGCCCAGTCAAGAAACATTTCCCTTCTCAGGAAGATCAAGCCAAATATAACATTATGTGTAATGTTTTAATGCAGAAAGTGCAGTGTGGCAATGACAATGGGGGAGGCTTTGGTATGATCTCCATAGACTGAAGGAGAATCAGGCGAAGGACGTTTGAAGAAATACATTTGTGCATAGTGCAATGGCTGGCATGCCTTAGTCTTGTAACCTCTATCTTTGCTGTAATTTGCTTTTATTTCAGTCTGTGGCAGCCATTAAACATATTACTTCAAACATGATGTCAGATGAGTGAAGATGAGATTAAGTGAACTTTCTGAGCTGTAAGAGATGGGGAGATTTAAAACTGTGGTCTGCAATTTTGGTTACTGAGTCAGAATGGCTCTGAATTTTCCACTCCTTGTTTTAAAAACTAAAGGAGGCATGACAAAGACTTGGAATATATTCCAACGAGACTTTGCATTATGCTAAAAAGACATTCCAGGCCAAAATGTACAACATATCCGAGAAAAGGACGGAAATCTGCATAATAAAAGAAAGCATGTTCCTTTTTCTCATGGTCTTATGGTTTATGGTGTAGGGCACAAACACTTGCACAGACCAGTTGGGCTGAATGGATTGTTTCTGTGCTATGCACTGTGTGTACTATATGACAACGGTAGTTACACTCCAAATGGACGTTTAATATTTTGCTTTAGAAATGCAAGTTATTTCTCTTCCCAACAGATGATGCACCCTCCAAATCAGAATATATGGGAAGATGGAAAAGGTCAACAAGAGACTGGAAAGCACAGCCCCCTTGACAGGAGGGTTCACGCACATTGACAAAGAAGTCCTGCTGTACTTCCTTCAGTCATCAAGAAATCTTTCAATTATTTCTGGCAAGTTTATCTATTACCGTAAATGGGTATCAACACATGGATAAAAGGAATATCTACAGTTTGATGTCTTTGGGATTCTAGTGTGTGAAAGTTAATGGAATTGTCCTAATAGCCAAAAAGTTAGTCTAGTTAGCCATTCACAATAACGTGTGATGTCCATACACCAAAGGGGAAGCCATCTGAGTGCCGCATTAATTTCATGATTAATTTAAAATAAAATTTCACTCCTGGCCAATATTGAAAGCTGTAGTCAACAAAATATATTCATGTATATATCAGTGTTATGGATAATTTTCTATTTGAGATTGTACTGTTGCAGAATCTCCTTCCTCCAATCTCTAAGATGATCAAGTAGAATATAAAAATGCTATGATTGGATTTAAGATGAAATGATTCAATTTGCCTAACATAATATTGAATTTCATGTTTATAAAGATATTGAAGGGATGATTTTCACTTGCAGCAGTGGTAGAGATTTCATGGAGCGAACCTGCTGAATTTTCCTGCCAATATTTTCTACTTTCTCCTAGTTTTTGTTTTCCTTTCTTATTAGCTTTCAAAGAAAATCAAGAAAGTGAAGTGAATTCTGATGAAAAATCAGGTGGAATTTACTCTTTTAAAAAAACTTGCATTTTTTGAGACACCTTTTACTCATCCTTTAAATGTTTCAAGGTAGATTCATATCTATTTTAATTACTTCTCAAAGTCGTCATAAATATTATAATGCTCTGATGCGACATTAGCTAAAAGTTCCATCTGCTGCCTTCTCAGGTGGATATTAAAAGATTTTCTTGGTACAATTTCAAAGCATAGCAGGGGAGCTATGCCTTTCCTGAACAGTAACAGGTGTAGGCCATTCTGCCCTTTGAGCCTGTTCCAACATTCAATGAGATCATGGCTGATCTTTGGCCTTACTCCATATACCTGCCTTTGGCCCATATTCCTTAATACCTTTGCTAAACAAAAAATTACCTATTTCAGATTTAAAACTAATAATTAATCTAGTATCAACTGCTGTTGTGGAAGAGAATTACAAACATATATCTCCCTTTGTGTGTGGAAGACATTTACCACTCCTGCCTTTATTGCTCAGACCATTGAGTTTCAAGTTGGGATATCATGTTCAGGTTGTACAGGATGCTGGTGAGGCCACTTCCGGAGTACTGTGTGCAGCTCTGGTTGCCCTGCTATAGGAAGATTATTAAACTGGAGACGGTGCAGAAAAGATTTGCCAGGATGTTGCTGGGACTGGAGTGTTTGAATTATAGGGAGAGGCTGAATAGCCTGGGACCTTTTTCACTGGAGTGTAGGTGGTTGAAGGGTGGCCTTATTTTTGTAAAATCATGAGGGGCATAGATAAGGTGAATAGCAAAGGTATTTTCCCTAGGGTATGGGAGTTCACAACCAGGGGGTATATTTTTAAGGTGAGAGGAGAAAGATTTAAAGTGGACCCGAGGGGCAACTTTTTCACACAGAGAGAGTGGTCCATATGTGGAATGAACTGCCAGAAGAAGTGGTAGATGCAGGTACAGTTACAGTTAAAAACCATTTGGAAAGGTACATGAACAGGAAAGGTTCAGAGGGGTATGGGCCAAATGCAGGGAAGTGGGACTAATTTAATTTGGGAAACTTGGTCAGCATAGACGAGCGGACCGAAGGGTCTGTTTCTGTGCTGTATGACTCTATGACTTTAAGTGATTTCTAACATCTTTCCTGAATGGTCTGGCCCTAATTCTCAGACTATGCCCCTAGTTCTAGAATCTCTAACCAGTGGAAATAGTTTCTCTTTATCTACCCAGTGTTTTCCCATTAATATTTTGAAGAATTCGATCAGTTCACCTCTTAAGCTTCTAAATTCTGGAGAAAACAGGCCTAATTTGTATACTGTCTCCTCATAACGTAACCCTCGAAGTCCAGGTATCATTCTTGTAATCCTACATCGTACTCCCTCTAACACAAATATATCCTTACTAAGGTGTACTGCTTAGATCTCCTCACAGTACTCCAAATTGGATCTAACCAAGGTTTTGTATAACAGCAAAACGTCTATGCCCCTATATTCCAGTCTTCTGGATATTGTGTATATGTATATGCATATATATGTGGGTCTCCCAATGTCTTGAGGTCAATATTTCTCCCACAGTCAAAATCGTAGTCATAGAGCTGTACAGCATGGGAACAGACCCTTCAGTCCAACTCGTCCATGCCGACCAGAAAATTCCAAACAAATCTAGTCCCATTTGCCAGCATTTAGCCCAAATCCCTCTAAACCCTTCCTATTCATATTCCCATCCATATGCCTTTCAAATGTTGTAATTGTACTCCCGTTCACCACTTCCTCTGGCAGCTCATTCCATACACGCACCACCCTCTGCATGAAAAAGTTGCTCCTTCGATCCCTTTTAAATCTTTTCCCTATCACCATAAACCTATGCCCCTCTAGTTTTGGACTCCCCCGCCCTGGGGAAAAGACCTTGTCTATTTACCCTATCCATGCCCCTCATGATTTTATAAACTTCTATGAGGTTACCCCTCAGCCTCCCACGCTCCAGGGAAAACTGCTCCAGTCTATTCAGCCTCTCCCTGTAGCTCAAACCCTCCAACCCCAGCAACATCCTCGTAAATCTTTTCTGAACCCTTTCAAGTTTCAGAACATCCTTCCTATAACAGGGATGCCAGAATTGAAAGCAATATTCCAAAAGTAGAAAAAATTAATGTGTTAGGATTTCATTGCAGTTTTTGTGATTTCATTGCTGTTGTGTACATTACAATAGTGGCCACATTTTAAAGGTTTTTCACTGGATGGAAAGTACTTTGAGATCATGATAAGGAATTGAATAAATATTTGAAATGGAAAATTTTTATAAGGTTATTGTGTAAGGTGGAGTCGAACCAATAACTTCTTCAAAGAGCTGACACAGATACTAGAGGCCAAATGGCTCCTTCTGTGCTATACTGTCAAGGAGGAAAAGGACAGTATCTGTTTTGTGATAATCACAAATACGAACTTAGAATTAGCAGATGTGAATATGTTGTTATGTTGTGATTGAATAACAATCGTGTATACTATTTTGAATATGATTGGATAATATAGTCATGTGTTCTAACCTAGACTGTAGACTATGTGAACAAATATGGGTGAGTGAATGTGCAACCTTTTGATTAGAAACTTATCTGTAGAAATAGTATACGACCATAGTTTTTGTTGTAAAGTTTGATTTGTGCGCTATCCTGTACTTATGCATGAGTAAATGTTTGCACAAATAAATCAAGTCTTGGCTGGTCTGAAAGAGGGATAGAGGGATAAAATCACTCTTTCATATGCAATACTATGAATTCATATACAGTGGATCCATTTATCTATAAGCTTAATTTCTTGCTGTGGTAGACACAGGACATACTTGGCGCTCGATTCAAATCCACATTTTTGCTTAAATTATTAAACACAGTGGACATCAATATAAAACAGACTCATGTAATCAAACACAGAAAAAAATCCCTTCAACAGCATAGCTTTGTTTGGAAATGCACTGATGCTGCACCTTAACTAAGCTAGAGTGAGTGAGTCTACAATATAAAGTACCCAACAAAGAAACAATTGAATCAATTATTTGCAGTCTAGACATTCACCCTACATAGTTGTTCCATCACCACATATGCATATAGGTAATACCACATAAGCAGAATAACACCAGGAACAAAATGGTTCATTATTTATTTCTATACCACATTTAACTACATTTGTATAGACTTCCTTAAAAATTTACTTCCATATCAAATTATCTTTCAGTTATGGTACATTTTTGTGTTGAGTTTATGGAATTTACAATGCGGGGGGCCATTTTGCTTGTACTGAGATTTTACAAAAAAAAATTTCTGTAAACCTTTCATGACTTCACAACAACAAAAGTGTTTTACACTCAAGGTAATTTTTTGAAAAAAAAACAAAAAATGAGAAATACTTAGCAAGTCAGCAGCAACCACGGCAAGAAACAAAGTGAATGTTTCAGGTTGATGACCATACTGATGAAGGTGCTGATTTCATTCAAGATTGCCAGCATCTGTAGTATTTCGTTTTTCCGTGTTGAAGTATGTAAGTGAAGAGTGGTCAATTTGCACACAGCAAGCTCTCACTAATTGCAATGTGATAATGACCAGATAACATGTTTTTGCAGAGCGGATTGAGTGACAAATATTGGCCAGAACACCATGGCTAAATCCATGACTGTTCTTTAAAATAGTGTCATTGAATTTTTTATGTCTACCTCAGACAGCAGATGGGTTCATGGTTTATCATCTCATCCAAGTGACAGCACCTCAAACAGTGTTGCATTCCTTCAGTACAGACTTAAAGGGTGCCAGCTACCCACCAAGTTGCTCAAAACATAAGATCAATACAAACAGTTCCACTCCCTCTGCTCTTACTAATAGCCCTGCATTTCTTTGTCTTTTTAAAGTATTTATGCTGTTCTGCTTTTGGAGGTTATTATTGAATCCACTTCCTTTCAGGCAGCCCATTCTGGACCATAGCATCTCATTGCATAAAATACTGCTCTCTTCTTCCTATAATTTTGGTCAATTAACTTGAATTAGTGCTCTCCAGTTATCATGATTCTGCCAATGGAAACAGTTTCTCCTCACTTACTCAATCAAAACTCAAAGTTGAACACCTCAAGTAAAAACAGAAGTTGCTGGAAAAGGTCAGCAGGTCTGGCAGCATCTATGAAGGAAAAATCAGAGTCAACGTTCCAGTGACCCTTCCTCAGAACTGATGGTGGCTGGGGAAACATCAGTTTATATGCAGAAAATAGGGAAGGAGTGGGGTGGGGAGTAAATGATAGGATAGAGCCCAAAGAGAGAGAGACAGTTGGACAGATAAAAGGAGTTGATAACGATCAGGCTGGGAGGGTGAATAATTGTTAGTGGAGACTATTAGTGACTAACTTTGTTTTTGTTCCTGATTTACAGCATCCGCAGTTCTTTCAGTTTTTATCTCAAGTAAAAATGCTGCTTTGGTCACCTTCCCTTAGCTTAAGAGGGGCTACAACAACTGTTCACTAGATTGACAACTGGGATAAGAGGACTGTTCAATTCAGGGAGATTGAATGGAATGGATTTAGATTCTCTGGAGTTTGAAAGAATGAGATGCAATCTCAATGAAATATATAAAAGTTTCAGAGGGTTTGAGAGGGTTGACGCCGAGAGGGATTTCCCTTCTGGCTGGAGAATCAACAATCCTGGCCACAGTATCAACAGAATTGGTTATTTAGGGCTGACAGGAAGAGAAATTTCTTCATTCAGAAGGGAAGAAAGTAATGAAGTTTTGGAATTCTCTAATCTAAATAGCTGCGGATGCTAATATTTTTGAAATTATTTAGTCTGAGACTGTTAGAAATTTGGACTCTAAGTGATTCAAGGGACATGGAGATCAGGCAGGGAATGTAAAATATTAGCCATGATCATATTGAATGATGGAGCAGGCTCGAGACTCCTGTTCCTATTCTTAGAACTCCTTACTGAACTTTCTCTAAGGAGAGCAATCCTAGCTTCCGCAGTCTCACTATGTAAATGAAGTTCCTTATCCAAGGTACCGTTTTAGCAAATTTTCTCCGCACATCCTCCGGGGATTTGAAATGTGGTGTCTTGTTGGAAATTTAATTTCTTTATACTTGTGCTTCTAATAGTGAAAGTTCTTTTGCTATATTGATCCAATTTTGGTTAGACCACATGTAGAGTATTCTGTATGATATTGGTTTCTTTATTTATCAAAGGATGAAAATGCATTGGAAGCAGTTCAGGGAATATTTATTAGACTAATAGCTGGACTAGATGCATAGTCAAATAAAGAAAGGTTGAACAGGTTGGGCTTGTATACAATGGAGTTTGGAAGACTAATAGGCAACTTGATTGAAATATGTAGGATCTTGGATGTGGAAAGGTGGAATCATAGAAGATTCTAGAACTAGAAGTCACTGTTTAAAATGAGTGGCCAAGTTAAGACAGTGGTGTGGAGAATTTTTTCCTCAGATGGTTGAAAGTCTTTGGAACACTGTTCCTCATATGACAGTGGAAGCAGAGTCCTTGATATTTTAAGGCAGAGGTAGATATATTCTTCATAAGAAGGGGGCTGAAAAGTTACTGAGGGTCCGTGGGAATGGGAGTAATCAGATGGAACAGCCACAATCGGATTCAATAGCAAAGCCGGATTGAGGGACCGAGTGGCCTATTGTCACTCTTAATTCGTATGTTCTTAACTTGCCCAGTCTGAGTAAAATGTTCCATTTTTTCTTTTGGAGCATCTCTTGATCAGGAGTATTTTTCATACCTGACAGATGAATTCTATTGGATCAGCTGTTCTTATTAGCAATCGCTCAATTTCTTCCATTGGAGTGTAGTACAAAACTTCAGCCTGGGCTATTCGCACTCCTCCACAATAAAGGCTCATTGTCACTGGGCCAGCAGGCAGATCTGTAAAACAGGAACTGCTGTAAACAGAGAGAACTGAATTTCTAAAGCACTTTCCACTGCTACAGGACATCCCAAAATGCTTTCAGCCAATGAAGTACTTCCTAAGTGTTAACACCACTGTTAAGAAATATGGCAGCCAATCTGCACACAGCAAGCTCCCATAAACAGCAATTGGTATTGATTAGACCATCTATCAGATAATGCCTTACAATTTATGATATTTTAGCTGCACCTGACAGGGCAGAAGGGACACCATATCAATACCTAATTTGAAATACAGCACCTCCAACAGTGTTTCTCCAAGATGTTGACTTTCTTCCTAAAGTGGTGTGCCCAGAAATGAACACAATATTCCAGTGTTGACCCTAACCAGTCTACAACTAGAAACACCAAAAAAATATTTTTACATGTACGATTTATTTTCTTTAAAGGGCTAACCTTTAAACAGTGGCAACCATGGCTCTTTGGATAACCCTGTAACTCAGAAGTGTCTGGGTTCAAGTTCCAGCACATAATCCAGATTGACACTCCAGTGCAGGACTGAAGGAATGCTGCACTGTCAGAAGTACTATATTTTTGACGGAAGGTCCTGTTTGCTCTCTAGGATAGGTATGAAAGATCCAATGATATTATTTCAAAGAGGAGAGAGAGATTTCTGTAAGGTATCCTGCTCAATCCTTATTGCTCAATCAAAATCACTAAAAACAGGTGATCTGATCTTGTCACATTGCTGTTTGTGGGACCTTACTCAATGTAAGTTTGCAGCAGTTTCCCACATTACAACAGTGAACAAACTTCAAAAAGTATGTCATCAGTTATGGCTGATGGCCATGGAAGCAAGTTTTTACTAATTTTTAATTCGAGACAGAGATAATCTGTTCTAGGGTGATATCATGAAACAAAACATCATTAAAAAGGGAATGAAAATCTAGAACTCTCTCCTCCAAAAATGCTGAGGTTGGGGCAGTCAACTGAAAATTTGAAATCTGAAATTGATAGGTCATTAAATAAAAAAAAAAGAACTGTGGATGCTGTAAATCAGGAAACAAAACTGAAATTGCTGGAAAAGCTCAGCAGGTCTGGCAGCATCTGAGAAGTAAAAAACAGAGTTCACGTTTCGGGTCCGGTGAGGAAGGGTCCTTCACAGATGCTGCCAGACCTGTCAATAGGTCATTGTTGGACAAGCATCTTTTGGAACAAAGGTGAATGAGTGGAGTTAAGATGCTGGTCATGCATGATCTAATTAAATAACAGAACATGCTTGATGGGCTGAATAGCATCATTCTATTTCTATCTTCCTTTGATTACTTAGCTGACCTATCCAGGTATTTGTCTCCAACACTGTGGAAAGGGATGCAGGCTGTGGAGTTTCATTAGTTAACACGGATGGGGCTCAGACGTAAAACTGTTTAGGGTTTTCATAAGGAGTGACACATTGCAAACTCCTGCAGCTCTGAACTATATTTTCCCACAAATCACTCACTCTGGTAATGGAGTCTTTGCATTTCATCAATTACAATCCAAGTTTCCATTACTGAACTCATCACAAGCTGGTGAAACAACTTTGGCACTTTAGAATGGAAAGTTAGAGTCAGAGATTTACAATGGGTATACAACATCTCAGAAACAACACTCTGAAAATTACAGTTTTCCAAAGGACATTTCTGAAATGCCCAGGAAAGCTGTAATGAAGTGTTTGGAAAATAGGTAGTCCATTTTACAGAAAAGGCCCAAGTGAGCAGCTACTTTGCAAATGAACCAAGCAATGAACATTATGGTTTAAAATGAATCAACACGTTACAATGCTCAATGTGAGAATTACTTTTCATGATCAAGGAATGAATGAACTTTTGTGGATTATTTTTGAAGCATTTATCTTTCCTTAATAGCTCCATTTGCAAGTACATCAGCAAGTTAAACTGCTGCTTTCCCCTTTATATAAGTGGTCTGTAAAAAACAAGGCAAATCCAGACCAGCCAATTACTATCCCATCAGTCTACTCTAAATCATCAGCAAAGTGATGGAAGGCATAACTGACAGAGCCATCAAGCAAAACTTGCAATAGCCTGATCAATAATGCTAAATACGATTTCCTCTAGGGTCACCCAGCTCCAGACGTCATTACAGCCTTGGTCCAAACATGGACAAATGAGCTGAATTCCAGAGGGGAGGTAAATGTGATGGCCCTTGGCATCAAGGCTGCATTTGATAGAATGTGGCCTCAAGAAACACGACCAAAACTGGAGTCAATGGGAATTGGGGAAAATTCTTCAGTGGTTGGAGTCACACCTGGCACAAATGAATACGACTATGGTTTTTGGGGGTCAATAATCTCAGCTCCAGGATGTAACTGCAGAAGTTCTTCAGGGTAGTATATCAGCCCCAATTATTTTTCACTGCTTTATCAATAACCTTCCCTCCATAACAGTGTTGCAGGTTGGATGATTTCCCTGGTTGTGGAGTCTAGATCCAAGGGATACAGACACAAACAGGAGTATGATGATGACCAGTTAATATGTTTAAATGATTTTGGTGGAGAATTAATACTGGCCAGAACACAGCACAGACTTCTCTGCCAGGAAAACAAAAAACTGCAAATACGGAAATAAAAACAGAAATTACTGGAGAAACTCAGCAGGTCTAGCAGGAAACTTGGATTGTAATTGATGAAATGCAAAGACTCCATTACCAGAGTGAGTGATTTGTGGGAAAATATAGTTCAGAGCTGCAGGAGTTTGCAATGTGTCACTCCTTATGTAAACCCTAAACAGTTTTACGTCTGAGCCCCATCCGTGTTAACTAATGAAACTCCACAGCCTGCATCCCTTCCCACAGTGAGACAAATACCTGGATACGTCAGCTAAGTAATCAAATGAGAGTAAATGTTTTGGCCAGTGGACTCAAAACATGAACTCGGCTTTTTCTTTGCAGATGCTTCCAGACCTGCCGAGTTTCTTCAGCAATTCTGATTTTGTTAATGAACTCCTCTGCTTGTCTTCAATATAGCTATGGATTATTTTATATCAACCTGCAAGGATTGAAGGTTCTCACACTGAAAAGGCAGCATCTTGATTACTACAGAACATCTTCAGGACTGAATCTTTGACAGTGCAGTGTTCCCTTAGCACTAACTATCCAACAGGTCAGCGCTCCCTCACTACTAACCCACCAATGGTGCAGTACTACGTCCACACTGACACTCCAACATTACTGCAGTCCCTCAGTAACGACCCATCTACAGTGCCATAATCCCCCAGTACTGACCCTTTGACGGTGCCATAATCCCCTAGTACTGACCCTCCAACAGCGCCATAATCCCCCAGTACTGACCCTCCAACAGTGCCATAATCCCCTAGTACTGACCCTCCAACAGCGCCATAATCCCCCAGTACTGACCCTCCAACAGCGCCATAATCCCCCAGTACTGACCTCTGACAAAATCTGAAGGAATGAGGTTCCATAGTTGTAATTGTCATTTTTTTTTCTGCTGCATAAATGTAAGGTTTTGTTGTGCCAGAAAGGCAAACTGGAAACAGTTGGAAATAGTTCCAACTGGAAGGACACGTTGATGCAACAGTCAAGAAAGCACAACAACGCCTCTCCTTCCTCAGGAGCCTAAGAAAATTTGGCATGTCGGTAAAGACTCTGACCAATTTTTGTAGATGCACCACAGAAAGCATTCTAACTGGATGCATCACAGTTTGGCATGGCAACTGCTCTGCCCAGGATTGAAAGAAACCACAGAAAGTTGTGAACACAGCCCAGAACATCTTGCAAACCAACCTTCCATCCACTGACTCCATCTACACTTATCGCTGCCTTGGGAGAGCAGCCAAAATCAAAGACCCCTCCCACCCTGGTTATAATCTCTTCCAACCTCTTCCGTTGGGCAGCAGATACAAAAGCTTAAACACATGTACCAACAGATTCAAGAACAGTTTCTTCCTCACTGTTATTAGACTTCTGAATGGACCTCTCAAATTTCTCATTTAATGTTGATCTTGCTCTTTGTGCACCTTCTCTGAAGCTGTGGTATTGTATTCTTCATTCTGCTCTATTACCCTTGTGCATTTTGTATGGAATAATCTGCTTCTATTGCACACAAAAAAACTTCTCACTGTACCTAGGTACATGTGACAACAATAAATCAAATCAAAAATAAGCAACACCAATCACATCATTAACAAGGCATTTCAACTGATTTGTAGAATTAATTTTCTCTATTGAGTTTAGTTCACTTCTACACCATAAGTACAGCAACGTTACATCATTCAACATCTTTCAAAGGTGAACCAAACAGTGAGATTGTGTTTTCACAAAGCTACGGGCAGACTTAGGCAAATTAGACAGCAATGTTTGGATTTCCGTATTTGATTATATGCCTCTTCAGGGTAGGTGCCCATAGGCGCTGTTTGGCATTTGTGCATAAACGATAGCAAGCTCTGTGAGTTTAACTATCATTTTGACAGAAAAGTCGAGCACATACTTCATATCTTAACATCTCAGAAACTAGTTTTTTTGCATCAGCTTAGAGCAACTAGTGACATTATGATTTAGAAGGTGGTGTTTATAGGCTAGTTTGGGTTGACACTCTATTGTAATGTTGAGGAAATGTCACTTTGTAATGCTTAGATAAACAATTGTCTGTTAGAGATCCAATGGCATTTTCCAATTGAAAGCATAAACCTCTTCCAAAGTCCCAGCTGGCAATACCCTCTCAACAAACAATTATGTCAAAGCTAAGCCCACTGCTCATACATTGGATCCAAGATGGAAGAGGGGGAAAAGAATTTGTGTCTGTAAGAGCTGCTCTTTTTTTCCTTGAATTTGAGGAGCCATAAATACTGTTTTATAAACTGTTGCATTGTTTTGGAACTTTAGGGGAATAAAAATCAAACCAACGGCACTTTGGAAAGGAGGAAGGGAGACAAAGGTAGTGACCACATGGGAAGAGATTCAAAAGGAGAAAGAAACCTACACTGCTGTCTGACCCAGCAGTAACCTGCACAGCTACTGCCTTTGCTGTTTGGCTTCAAGTGTCTCTGGACATAGGAGTTCCTCTAAGAAAAGTAAACAAACAGCAAAATTCACAGCTGACCTTGGAGAAACCTATGTGGTGGAGCTCACAGCAGGGGAGCAGCTAAGTGGCTAGTTTTAAATTGTAACCTTATTGTTTCTTTTCTTTATTGTAAATCTACAATAGTGAGTAGGACGGGTACTTTTTTTGTTTATATGTTTTGTTGAGATCTGTCTCTTGATTAAACTTTAAAAATATAAAAAGTACAGGTACTAAGCAACCCTGGAGCAGTGTTTTTAGAGCAGTAAGACTGCGCTATTTTCTGGGTCTGTAGATTGTTAAGATGCTAACATGGCCTTCAGTAGAGTGATGTGCTCTTCCTGTTGGACGTGGGAGATTAGGGAGAGTTTCCATTTTGCTGATGATTTTTTTAATGTCTGCAGGACGTGTATTTGGTTGCAAATCCTATCGGATCACATGGATCGCTTGGAGAGGCAGTTAGAGGCAATGAGGAATTTACAGGAGCTAGGGGGTGTGCTGGATGGTCATTGCAGGCAGGGAGATAAACTGAAGATACACTCAGGTAGATGAGTGACCTCCGGGAAATATAGGAGAGGGAGGCAGATGCTGCCAGACCTGCTGAACGTTTCTAGCATTTTCTTTTTATTCCTGATTCTCAGTATTCATTTTGCTTTCATTAGAGGAATCTAGGGATTTTTCCTACATTCAGTCCACTGATAAAGTACATTTAATTGTGTTCCAGGTGTTCAAGTGAATTCAACCCAGATTTGCCAAGTAAAATCAAAATACAGCACAGAGGAGGCTACTCGATCCATCATGTTTTTACTGGCTCTTTGAAAAACATATCAAATTATTCACACTCTCTTTACACTTTTCCCACAATCCTGTAAACCTCTCCCCTTCAGACAGTGATTAAGTTATTTTGGCTTTTGCATTAAAGATCATAACAATGCGCTGATTAAAATAAAATAAACCTTCCTTCTCTCTCCACTGGTATTTTCATCAATGATTTTCAATCAATATCACTGGTTACCAAACCTTCTGCTTGTAGAACAGTTTCTGCCTCTCAAAACAAACCATTCCCCCTCTGAACACCTCTCCTCTAAACCTCTATGCTTGAAGGAGAACAATTCCAGATTATTCAGTCTCTCCATTTAAGCGAAGTTCCTCACCACTGGCACCCTCTCACTAAATCCCCTCTACACCCTCTCCAAAACCTTGGCAACATTCCTAAAATGTGGTACTCAGAGTTTGTGGTAATTAACCTTGAAACCAAAACTGTCTCAGAGTGATTGAGACTTGCACATTTCAACTTCGAGTCACAGAACGAAACTGTTACAATTCAATAAAATCTAACAAAGTGTTGCAGAATGGCGGGTGAAGTTGGTGACGCAGGTTTAGGGAGCAGTGGGGCCAAGTAAGTGATAAAGGAGAAGGTGTCTGGTGGCAATGGCAGCAACACCAGGACGAGGCAGACGTGGATCCACCCCAGCCCGACGGCTCCTGGCGAGCGAGGAGCAGGTCACAGGCTTAATCCCCTGGTCCAGACTCGTAGGCTGAGCCGAGATTCCAAGTCTGCAGCTAGGCCTGGGTGCCTGACGGCGGAGGTGGTGATGACTTTGGTCCCAGTGCAGGACCCTGTGGTACTGGTGATGGTTGCATCAGCGATGTTAGCCCTGAGCGAACTCATGGCGGCGGTAGCGTTGGTGGAGGGGAGATGGGGTCAGAGAGTGATGACACTTTGTTCCAGTTTTGGCCACGTGGTAAAGTGTCGCAGCAGTATCATTGCTTTAGCAGCAGGGACTCGAGGCAACAGGCTGGACGAGCCTGGATCCAGGCCCATGGCTGAGCTAGAAACAGGAGCTGTTCGAAAGACCACCTAACTTTATTGAGATGAGACTATAAGATGAACTTTATTGTTTTATTTTTCTGGCTGTATGTTTTAAGTTTTGGTTTATTTTCTGTGTTTTAAGATAGTGCAGGAGAGTGGCATCACTAAACATCACTTTTCTGTGTATTTATTATAAATACACAAGACAATAAATCAAATCAAAATTCTACTTCAGCATTGACCATATCCTCAGGGTGTCTCTTCCCAGTCAATCAATAACTACTGCGGGAGTGAGATGTGTTTCTTACCGAGAGCTCTTACGCAAAGTGTTTGACTGTTCCAAATAGTTGGTCGAACCTTCACTTTCTCAGTCCTTGACAGAAATTCAATCTCTGGGTTTTCACCGAGTGACACACTATTTTTCAGCAGCATGTATATCTCACTTGGGCTCTGTGTTAAAAGGAAGGTGAACAGGTTATATGTCACAGGCAAAATTTAAAAGATACTAACATTAATTCTGATATTATGAATTGTTTGAAATAACCAGAACAAACAAAGGAGATATTGGCTATTTGGCAATGGGATCATATTTTAGATTTTCTGTGAAAGCAGAGCTTTCTTTTACCTTTGGGAATCTGTGAACAGGAGAAGGTCTTTCAGCCCCTCAGGTCTATCCCACCATTCAATTAGAAAATGGCTGATCAGGATCTTTACTCCATCGACCTTCCTTTGTCCTGCAACTCTTACTACAGCTACCAATCCAAAAGGACAGTTATGACCTCTTTTCTGAACAATGCTGTTTGGAATTCAACAAAGTACACCACATGGTGTTGAACCAAAGATTTACAAATAAATAAAACTCTAAATGAGTAAAAATGAAAATTTGGATGGAAAATTTGCCGCTACCTTTAATATTCTATGTTTATACTAACTTTTCCAAAATTTATTGCGCTAATACATCACCTCTAGCATTGCAAAACATCATAACGTGCCTCACAGGAGCATAAACAAAAACATGTGGCTTTGGACCCCAGAAAGACAGGTCAGTTTTAGCAACTTCTTAAAGAAGCAAAAAGAAAGGGGGAGAGGTTTAGGAGAGGAATTCCAGAGCTTAGGGCATGATCAACAAGGTGAAGTGATTAGAATCAGGAATAAAACATATTTGAGAAAAGTACGTACTTTGCACTGTATCCGATTTGGTATCACCAACACAGGCACAGTGACGGCATTAAAGGAACCAGGCCCTCCAAGTGGATCTTCTCTTGGACCCATGCACTGCTGCCAATCATTGACACCAGATTCTATAAATGAATCTAAATGTAAACAAGTGTAGAGTACTGTCAGTACAGATTTGTAGACTTGAGGCTAACTTAACCAAGGTTCTACTGCTGGTGTGAAGTCTCAACTGAAAGGAAGTGTGACTCTAATGTGGAGAATGGAACACTCATGTGAATCATTTGGGAACACCAAGAATTAGACTCTGACTTCCAGTTACAGCTTTCCTGCTAATGCTCCTGTCAGCTAAGACTGGAGTAAGTCACTGGGGTAAGTCATGCTAAATGTATGCACTAGACAAAATCGTTTCAATTATTTACAAACTAATAACATTTTCTTATTTTCTGAGCAATATTCCACTCCCTGCTCTGATAATGTACAAGGAAGTTTGACGCATTCTTCACCTATCACTTCGTCCTGAGGTTAAGACTGTTCAAATCAATTTCTACATCAGCCACAGGCCAAAACGAGCTCAGGAGCTGCTGTTACAACAGTGTGGAGCTGGAGGATCACAGCAGGCCAGGCAGCATCAGAGAAACAGGAAAGTTGACATTTTGGATCGGGGCCCTTCTTCAGAAATGGGGAGGGGGAAGGGACCCCCGAAATAAATAGAGAGAGAAGGGGTGGGGCTGGGGAAGATAGGTGTGATGGTGACAGGTGAGTGCAGGTGGGGATTGGTCAGTGGGATGGGTGGGGCGAATAGGTGGGAGAGAAGATGGACAGGTTGTGTCAGGTCAGGGAGGTAATGATGAGAGGGAGAGTTGGACATGGGGTGAGGCCGGGGGGTGGGGAGAGTTTAAAACTGGTGAATTCCATGTTTAGGGCATTGGGTTGTAGGCTCCCGAGGCAGAATAGGAGGTGCTGCTCCTCCAGTTTGCGGGTGGTGTCATTGTGACACTGGAGGAGGCCCAGGATGGACATGTCACCCAGGGAGTGGGAGGGGGAGTTGAAGTGGTTCGCGACTGGAAGGTGTTGTTGATTATAGCGTACGAAGCTCTATGAAAAACACAGTCTCCAAGTCTACGCTTGGTCTCACCGATGTAGCGGAGGCCACATTAGGAGCAACAGATATAGTAGACCAGGTAGTTGGATGTGTAGGTGAACATCTGTCTGCTATTGAAAGGTTTGCTTTGGGCCTTGAATGGAGGTGAGGGGGGGGTGTGAGGTGTAGGGGCAGGTGTAGCACTTCCTGTAGTTGCAGGGAAAGGTGCTGGTGGGGAGTGTGGAGCAGATGGCAGAGTTGTGGAGCGAGCAGTCCCTATGAAAGGCTGATAGGGGTGGGGAGGGAAATATATCTTTGGTTGTGGGGTCGGATTGTAAGTGACGGAAGTGGCAGAGAATGATACATTGGATATGGAGGCTGGTGGGGTGAAATGTGAGGACAAGGGGGATTCTGTGTTTTTGGGGGGAGGAAGTTTGAGGGCAGAAGTGCGGAAAATGCAAGAGATGCAGTTTAGGCATTTTCGATCACCAAAGCAGGGAGGTTGCAGTCTTTGAAATAGGAGGACATCTGGGATGTGCAGGAGTGGAATGCTCCATCGTGGGAGCAGATGCAGCAGAGGTGGAGGAATTGGGGATCGCATTCTTGCAGGAAGGTGAGTGACAGGAGGTGTAGTCAAGGTAGCTGCAGGAGTCGGTGGACTTGAAATAGATGTCAGTTTCGAGGCAGTCCCATGCGGGTACCCACAGCCACCCCCTTAGTCTAGAGGAAGTGGGAGGAGTTAAAGGAGAAGTTGTTAAGGGTAAGGATGAGTTCAGTTAAGTGGATGAGGGTGTCGGTGGAGGGCACCCAAATGGGCCCAAGCTATGCCTGCCTCTTCACAGAATACGTGGTACAGTCCCTTTTCTGCTGTTACACTGGCATTATCCCTCACCTCTACCTCCGGTACATTAACGACCGTATCGGCACTGCCTCATGCTCCCAAAATCCTAATGGTTACAAAAGCAATCAATTTAGTTCTCGACACAATGCATCAGGTTTTGTGATTGGCAATGAGTGAAAAGCACCAACTATTCACAACACCTCCCCATGTACTTTCAAAGAGTTTCTGCACCAGAACTTGCTGATTTCTAAAACAAAGAAAGTGGATGGCTGGAGATCTGAAATAAACAAAAACAGAAACTACTGGATGAATTCAACATCTGTGAAGAGAACAGGGCTTGAAACATGGACTCTGCTTTCTCTCCACAGATGTGGCCAGAGTTGCCAAGTTTCTCCAGCAATTTCTGTTTTTGTTTGTTGCTGTTTTCTAATCTTTCTAAGTGGCACAGTGTCCCATGGTGAAAATCTGAGAGCAGTGTGAATAAGGCAAGAAAAGATGCATCCCTGAAATATATCAGATTGATGAATGCACTGGAGAGTCAAGATTGCTTGGCAATGATAAAGACTCTTCATGTTGTTTAAACTGGAATGGTCAAACCCTGACAACAAGGTGCAGGACTGGATGAACACAGCAGGCCAAGCAGCATCATAGGAGCAGAGAGGCTGACGTTTCGGGCCTAGACCCTTCATCAGAAAAGGGAGAGGGGAAGGGGGTTCTGAAATAAATAGGGAGAGAGTGGGAGGCGGATAGAAGAGGGATAGAGGAGAGGATAGGTGGAGAGGAAACAAACAGGTCGAAGAGGCGGGGATGGAGCCAGTAAAGGTGAGTGTAGGTGGGGAGTTAGGAAGGGGATAGGTCAGTCCAGGGAGGACGGACAGGTCAAGGGGGCGGGATGAGGTTGGTCGGTAGGAGATGGAGGTGCGGCTTGAGGTGGGAGGAGGGGATAGGTGGGAGGAAGAACAGGTTAGGGAGGCAGGGACGAGCTGGACTGGTTTTGGGATGCGGTAGGGAGATTTTGAAACTTGTGAAATCCACATTGATACCATTGGGCTGCAGGGTTCCCAAGCGGAATATGAGTTGCTGTTCCTGCAACCTTCGGGTGGCATCGTTGTGGCACTGCAGGAGGCCCAGGATGGACATGTCGTCTGAGGAATGGGAGGGGGAGTTGAAATGGTTCGCGACTGGGAGGTGCAGTTGTTTATTGCGAACCGAGCGTAGGTGCTCTGCAAAGCGGTCAAACCCTGAGCTCTTCTGGCAAATTTAGTGGAGATCTATGGAGTAGGTACTACAATCTCAAACTCTATATTTCAATGACAAATCCATCAACAAAGTAAGTGTAGAGAAGCAAAGGGCATGTCAGCTAGCAACTGTCTCATTTGTAGACCTGCCAGAGCTTGCTGTCTGATTTAATCTTCAGAAGCAGTCGGGACTTCAAAACACCACTGTGTTCCCACGGCAACATTTCTGTCGCAAGCCTGCTGAAAAGTTCCAGCAAGCTTCAGCACAAGCTCAAAGAACAACATCTCATTTTCCACTTGGGGGCCCTGCAGCCCCTGGGACGCCACATTGAGTGCTATAACTTTAGACCCTGATTTTGTTTCTCTGACGAAGGGTCCCAACCCAAAACGTCAACTTTCCTGCTCCTCTGATGCTGCCTGGCCTGCTGTGTTCCTCCAACTCCATACTGTGTTGTCTGACTCCACCATCCGCAGTTCTTGCTATCTCTTATGACATGAGTTGCTTTTAGCACAGTCATCCTTTTTCATCTACTCTTAGGCCTATCATTATATTATATGTGCTGCTTTCAGTACAGCTCACCATTTGCTCCGACTCTTACATCTTATTGTTCATTATTCAGCTTTGCTTCTGTGCTGCCCTGCTATCCATAATCTCCTTATTTACCTGCCACCTTCATATCAATCTCTGTCTGGGCACCATCTCCACGTATCTGCTCACCTCTCCCCCTTCCACTACCCCAACTCCCCAGTGTTGTCTTCAGCATAAATACCACTCTTTCCCAGCTGCTAACAGATCTGATGAAGAGTCACCGGATTCCAAACTTTAACTCTGCTTTCTTCCTACAAATGCTGCCAGTGCTGATGAGTTTTTGTTTCAGATCCCCAACATCTGCATCTCCAGAGTTTAAAAACCAGGCGGAAAAACACACCGATGCTTCATCGGAGGCTGCACTAATGATGTTACCCAGCGGGGTAACGAATCTGTTTTCAAAGACAAAAGTTGCTGTATAAGCTCAGCAGGTCTGGCAGCATCTGTGAAGAGAAATCAGAGTTAACGTTTCAGGTCCAGTGACCCTTCCTCAGAACCCTCCAGTTCTGAAGAATGGTCAGCGGATCCGAAACGTTAACTGATTTCTCTTCACAGATGCTGCCAGACCTGCTGAGCTTATACAGCAACTTCAGTTTTTGTTTCTCATTTACAGCATCCACAGTTCTTTCGGTTTTTAAAATCAGTTTTCATCTGGGCCAGATGGCTATTATGTCAGAGAATCCTTTTCCTGGCCACAGTGTAAGCCCTCAGAGACATAGACATGATGACGGATGTTGCACTCCACATCTAAATATCTCCATCAACATTGGCTCTGGAGCTAGGAAGATTCAGTTGGATTAATTCCCCATTTTGCCTTCCATGACTGTTTTAACCTCCTACACTCCATCTGTAACATTACCCAAAAAATTCTGTCTTTCAATTAACTGTTTTTCCAGTTTGGCAAAGCCTATGGATTGTTATTGATCCAGGTATTCTGTGAGCAAAAAAAAAAAGGCAGGTTAGAATTGGCATTAACATTTGCTCGGATGCAGTTCCTTGCTTTCTGATTTCACCACAAATACTAGACAAAGATCATAGGCACATGACAAGGGCAGGTATACATGATCTGTACAAAGTTTCGACCCAGTCAACAATCTAAGGGATAATGATCAGTGAAGAATGAAAGAAAGAGAGAGAGAATAAAAGAAAGTAAGGAAAGACACAGATTTGCACTTACATAGTGCCTTTCACAATATTTCAAAGTTAACAATTGGAAACCAGTAACTTTTTACAAGTCCATCTATAATCCCATCATTTAAGGGATCCAGTCAACAGATCCTCCTTGTAATACAAGGATTAAATCTTTAACTCCAAACCTGAAGCTCATGCTTTCTTGTGAACAGCATCTGTAGGAATCAATAATTCTCACATGCCCACTGGCCCCACTT